CCACTCAAATTCAATCAAACCCAAATCCAAATACAGTTAAAACTAGGAATTGGATTTGACAGGAATCAGATTTGATGCATCATCAATATCCATCGTTGTGATTCTTTTGTTTCTTCAATCATTTCTATTATTCTCATTGTAATGTACCGTTACCGTGCCATCACGATTAGTCTGTTACGAGCTGATAACGAAATCTTTCTTGTTCTCCTATTATGCCACATTTGTTAGATAAATAAAAAAGCTTTTTATAAAACGAAACTTTTGATTCCAATGAGCAGGGCGCAAAGGTCTTGCCCTGCCCTGTGGACATCTCTGATTAGAACCACCAAATATTAATGATATTGAAGTGACAGTTCTTAAATTAAAAGAAGTTTATTAAAGATTAACTTTTCTTATTTCTATAAAAAAAAGTAATTTTAAGTTGGTGCATTTACAATTCATATGGATCATGATGAAATTCGTCCATTTGATGGAGATTTAACATTTTTTGGGAAAATAATGGCAGCATTACCAATTGATATTGAATTATCACGTTTAATTGCGTTAGGACATGCATTTGGTTTAGTTTATGAAGCTGTTATTTAGCTGCATGTTTATCAACAAAAAGTATTTTTAAAATTTATTATCAAGATCGTTTAGCTGCTTAGAAGTAAATTTAATTTTGTTGCTGGAACATTTTGTGGTTGTCAAGCATTTTTAAATGTTTATAAAGTAAAGAAAAAAACAAATAGCAAGAAAGAAAGTTATTGTATATTTGATGAATTTCTTTTAGACATGGCTTTATCATGAAAGTAATCAGTAATTTCGATCGGCTGATGCTGAACGTCATTGGACACATTTACATAATGTTGATATAAAACGTTTACGTGAAGTACATTTTTACTTATTGATGAATTACGAAATCGTTTACGTCAATTACATATATTTGTACCACGTAATGTTGAATCAGATCAAATGCAAAGACAAAGAAATCCAATTACTCAACAACAAAACTTCTTAAATTTTAAAGTTATTCTATTAATTAAATACAACATTTTCAATATGTTTTTTTTCTCTATCTAGATTATAAATGCTGGTGCTTTTTATCTAGATTATTATATTCGAGAACCGATCGAATCTGAAACTGTCGATTGAGAATTGCCATCAAAAGATCTAGGGCGAGGGTGTGGGGCGTGAATAAAAGAAAAAGAAGCACCTACACCCACCCTAAATTTTGAGGCGAATAACATGGCCAAGATATCTAAAGCAGTCATTTTTGCCATATAATCGGAACATGAAATCATACTATCAGCATTAAATGATAAAAGATATTAGAATATGTATGTTTGTTGACTGAACAAAATGTCGAATGATAAACACGGTGAACATATCTTATTTGTTCAT